AAATAACATCGAATTAGATTAAAGTAAATGAAACATCACCGAGGAGGAGGAGGAGGAGGAGGAAGAAGAGAGTGTGATGGGATGGCTGTGCGGGGCCAGAAGGAGGAAGGATGGAAGAGTTTATGTAGATTTAAGGTGAAAGAGAGGTCGTAGAGACAGAGGTGAGGGAGAGAAAAGACAGGGGGGAGACGAGGGAAGGGAAAGTTGGGCTGACAGGATGTGTGCATTCACAGCCACCTGACTCATTCTGTTGCCTCTTGACAAAAAATGAAAAAAAAATCATGCAAATCATACCTGTGGTTTCGTGTGAGTCCACCTCATCAGAATCAAGGGGCAAAAATAGTCAACTCATCTACTGAGGGGATTACCATGGTAACCTACAGTGCCATTAGCTTTCTGAATCATGTTCATGAAATCAAACTCGGGCATGGAAGCTGCAATTTCTGTGACACCATATACACTATTCATTTGCTTTGTAGACAAAAGCACAATTCAGGAGAAACAAACATAAGACCTTTGTTTATTTTTTTTTCAGCCCAAGTTCAGCCGAAGAGCCACAACAACACTGAGGATTCACTCTTAAAATGCAGAGAATATCTCGCAGCAGCAGGAGCACCCTACACTTTTTATGAGTAATGCTCTAGCTCTGTGGCAATGAAGTGCCTTGTAAAGTCTGCGCTACAGCAGGTGAATGGGAAATGTGGTTTTTTCTTCCTCAGGTATTAATATCACCTCTGGGATGGGAACACTAAACTGGAGATAGAGGGGGCAGACGACCATGGAGGGGAATCTTCATCTGGACTTGGGCAGTAAATCACCAGCTAAAGGCTCAGGACGGCTGAAAAACAAAGAGGGCGGTGCTACAATAGCCGGTATATAATAAATAAAAAGTAGCCGACTGGTGGCCAGAGTGAAGCCAGGGGGAGTGGATCGGAAGTTCTTCAATGGATTTAGAAGAATTGTGCTTGAATGGAAGTCTATGGGATAAAGTTTCAAAGCACCAGATGGGGGAATAAAGTTTTCTGAACCATATGAGTGAAAGGAAGGACAATAACAAAGTTCTTGCAGCAAGGAGTGCACATTGAGTTTTTCTCTCTTTGTTTAAAAGAACGAGCATAACACATAGAAATTAGATTGAAGATTCAGGGGTATTAATAATCACTACAATTAGAAACAGGTCAGCTGTTGATTAATCACAATTAATCACAGCCATACATTTATCCTGATTAATCATAATCTAATCACAGACATACATTTATCCTGATTAATCAACTTTACTAAGTATGTTTCTGCAACAGATAACATCTCAGCAGGCAGATGTACGTGTTCTTATTTGTGACTAACTGAAATCACAAAATGATTAAAGAAAAACATACAAAATTTCTATTTCATGGAGTTGAAAGATTGTAGTCATTGCTGTGCAGCTGACGTTGGTAGAGTGTGTAGAAAGTTACTTACAGAACATCAATAAAAGACAGCGAGAGTGTGTGTGTGTGTGTGAGAGAGAGAGAAATGAAAGAGAAAAAGGCAGAGGGGGGAGGCCCACATGTCGCCCCACATGACTTCCTAAGTGGTTTTCATTTAATTTTCATCTGATGAGAAAAGGCAAGAGTAAGTGGATCTCGCACGTCATGCGTTAAATGTGTTGCAAATGTAATCAGATTAATCTTCACAAATTAATTAACATTGATTTACGCCTTCACTTCCACCATTCTGGTGACATGACAATATTCCTTGTATGTACATCAAGAACTGTTCAGTGAGTCTTCAAGTCACCACAATAATCAGTGTAATCTGGGATCTTGGCTTTCACGATTCCCTGCCTCTGTCTTGGAAATTTGTTGCCAGTCACAGATTATTATATCGTAGCAATTAAATTAGTAATTTGTTAAATTGTTTGTTTGTTGTTTTCAGTCCATATGAATTTCTTTTTGTCTGAGCTCTATTGGATACAAGGGAATACAAATGGAGTGAAAGGAATTGCGATGCTAACAGACACCTTTGCCTCACACTACTCTACACACGACATATACAATTAGTTACACAATGACTTGTTGCTGACGTTGCCTACACATTAGTATCTGTTTCCCATTTACCAGGGTTCACTGATAAACTCACTGCTGACAAACTCATTACTCCTGTGCAGTGAATCTCCACAGACTGGAGTTTGTTACACTACTGACAAACATATTTATATTATGTTTGCAGGATAAAATTAAAGACATATGTGGTATTTTTATGACACCAAAATGAATAATAATAACAATAAAAAAAACATTTTACTTACAGTTGATATGATGGTCAGCCATGTTGATTTTCAGTCTTTTTTAGTTTGTACAATAAAAAGGAAATAAACATTTATTTACACTTTGCCTCTCCACTTTGCTCCTCCTTGTGTGGTTTGTTGTTCCCAGTTGCCTCCATCTACCAGCACACCTGCTGCTCGTCAACTTGATTACCCTCATCCAGCTGCTGCACTTTCAAAACTCCACTCCAGCATTTTTCTAGTTGACCTTTGCTACTTTTTGCACAACTGTGAATGAATTTGCTGCAGTACTTAACTTTAATTATTATTTATTTAATAACTTAATAACATTACAATTGAAATTGCAGTAACAAAGCATTGACTCTATCTATCTATCTATCTATCTATCTATCTATCTATCTATCTATCTATCTATCTATCTATCTATCTATCTATCTATCCATTTCCTCAAATAAGTTCAGAATGTAAAAACTTTGCATCATATGGTGGGGAGTCTGGATAAGGGAGACCCAGTGGTGTACTGCAGGTTTGTGTTCAGTTGTTTAGTTGCTGCCTGAGTGTGGAGGTTGCTGTTGTTCATCACTTCTCTGTTGTATCCCTGCTGTTGTCAACGCCTTATGGTGTTAAGTGAGTTGCAGGTTCTCCTCCTGCATACGTCTGTTATGTATCTTCACAAATAATTGGTAAACTACAAAAACAATTCTGACAGACTGGGTTGATTTTGTTAATTAGACGAACAGACCTGAACCTTATTTATTGTCTCATAAATATCTGTACATGCAGCTCTACTGACTCCAGCAGCAGGTCATTTCTTTATCTCACTGCAGTAGATTTTAATTGGTTGGTTTCTCTGCTAAGTCTTTTATAAGATAGATGAATATACAGTAACACACCCACCTACCCACAGAGATCCATTACTTTTTCTCCTTAATTCACTCCCCTCTCTCCTCTTCTTCCTTCACATCTTCATCTCAATCTCATGCTCATACATTAGCTTTCATTTAATTCCCCTATGTCTCCCTCTACAGCCCAATTTTCTGACTTCATCATCAGTTGCCTTTAACATTTTCCATTTCTCCCCAACAGTGCCTCCCCTGTTCTCTCTTTACTCCTCTCTCTGGCAAAATCCCCAGAGATGAGAAAAACGAGGTCAGCTTTGTCACAACACAGGTTCACATTTCATTGCCACAGCTTTGGGGCTGCCAGAATGCGGGATTGATGGTTCTGGGGTTTTCCACTGGCCCAGAGACCAGTTCTATAAAGAAGAAATCAGCTAGAAAGAAGTGAATACAACGAAACCTAAATATAGACGGGAAAAAGGAGCACAATTAAAACATGTGCATGAGATTAACTACGGCAGTGGGAGCAGATCTGTATTTAAAGACCTCACTACAGCGGGGAACACGCCGGTTGTATGGATGTCAGCGAGTCAATAAACCTTGTGTGGAGGAAGTGATGTAATTAATTAATCCTATTTATTACAATTTGAGTAGTTTAATTAAAATCTGAAAGTGGCTTTAATAAATGTTAACACAAGGGAAAAGGAATAATGCTGAGAAACAACTCCCAGTGTAAATAGATTTTATGAAGCTGCAAATGCTCCGGGTTCTTCATCAAACACAGGTGTGATTATTCAAATATGTACCCTGGGATTAGCACCAATAGCTTCTTTAGTCATAACTGAAAGAGTCAATTGTTTGGGGCCACCATTTAACAGAAAGAGTAGTTTAATGAGCTTTATGAAAAATGCAGTAAACATTTAGTTGTCATTTTCAACTGAGTTGTTTTAATAATACTAATTAATGGATTTGTCCCACAATGGGGAAAAGTCTTTGCAACAAATACAGGCCGCCACATGGAAGCACCACAAAGTACATCCACTTCTACTGCTCTACAATGGACAAGACGCCACAGGGTCAACCAACACAAACACACGACCATACACGCTCATGTTCACACCTGAGGTCAATGTTAAATCTAAACAGTGTTTGTTGGAGTTCATTAGGCGTGAACCAACGACAGACAACACCATCTGTTTCTCTGGCCTCCATACAGTATTAAATAAGTACCTAAATGTACAGCACATATGGACCTTTTCTGGTCAATATGCAGCGTTCATCACCTGAAACCGTCTGTAATTTAGCTATGATTTTAACACTTTTTACAACTTATAAATGACATTTTAACATCCTACAATAAGGCAAAAGTGCATCAAGACATTCACAAAGAAGCACATTATAGATTACCGTAGATTTGAATGTCCTCTTGAGGTCCCTGACCCAGGTGTTCGACCTTTTTTCAAAAGTGACGGGCACAGCCATTTACTGATTGACTTCCACTCTCCAGACCGGCCTCAGGACGGTCATTCATCATTCAATCAATATGTTGCATGTCACCAGGGGTTGTATGTTCACTGTCTTGTCATATTTTATCTGATGTTTACCCACCAGAACAAGGAAACTGCAGGGAAGAGACAATGAACAAAACAGTGCATAATTCATTATAGTAAAGAGGACGACATCAATCCACAGCTTTTCAGGAGTGACATCACTTGCACACAGGCACACGCACCAGCGCACAAAACACACATTTCAGAGAGAAAGTAGGAAATGTCTGAACGAGAAGAATGCACATCAGCCTCCCTCTGATGCCAGTTTAATGTCCCGTAATAAACTCACCACTCTATTTATCAATAACGCCTTCATAACTCCACTTTTATTGGTCTGTGCCCGACCAAATTACACTTGTCTGTTTCTTCTGTGTTTCATCTGAGCCACTGTAACGTTTGACCTCTAGGTTTGTCAACAGCAGCTGTTCCCATTGTTGTTGTGATCAAAACACATGAAAATCTCTAGGTTGACACTGAACATTAGGCTCTGACTGCATGTCAACTTGAGGGGGAATAGACAAACATGCATGCACTGCATATCCTCTTAGCGTGTAAGATTGCGCAGATGCTCATGTATATGCTAATTCATCGCCTACATTTTAAATTATCACGAAGACAGCCTTGTATCTATCAATCAGTTTAAAACAGCTACAGTTATGTGTAGTGTCCATGTTTCTTATTCCATTTACAAGATCAATGATAAATGTACGGTTGTGAATGTCGACTGAAAAAAAAGTAATTTGAATTAACAGAAGGAACATTTAGGTCATGTATGTAAGTCTAGGAAAACAGTGAACCTGTTGCACATTCCCTTCAAACATAGTGTTAATCACTAATTTCAGGTCATTTCTTTTAACTGTTAAATGGTAAATTTGATTTTCTTTGAGAGAAAAACAGCTGATAAAGCATGGCACAGAGACACGGTTTTTATTTTAAATAGATAAATAAATAATTAAAGGTCATGTACCCTTGTATGCACTTTGTAGTGCTGTGCCCAGTCTTCTACCAAAACAGGGTGTTCATAATGAACTACATTTACACAATACTTTATTAGAAAAACTACAAACTACCAGTAGGACGTAGTACTGCATGTAGCATCTTTCAGTGACATCCATTCATAACATTCATACCCCTCAACCAGCAGATGTGGGAACTCCTGAGAACAATAGATCACTGGTGACTTTCGTTTGACCCACAGTAAAAGGATGTGGGTGGCCAACATGTGAAACAGCAAACACGTGTCTCTTTGCCCAACATACAGTGGTCTGACTATTTAACAGGCAGTGGAAATGCAGAGCCTCGTTTCTGAATCTGTACTTTAAATGGGACTCCTGTCTAGTCAGTTAACACATAACGTGAAAAGTATATTTTATATTCTGTATTTTTTCTTTGAAAAGCATCTATAATCTATATCGTCCTGACCGACCAAAGTCTGCCCTGGTTTGAATATTCCAGAAGAAAAGTACATATTTTCTGAAGTTTTTGTAAATGTTTTTCTTAAAAAGTTTGCAATTCCTTTAACAGCCAAAAATGTAATACCTCTGTGGCCACGTGTGTGATGAGTTTAGAGACATAATTAAAACTGACCCTAAAGCTATAATTAAGGATGACATTTTTTAATTTTCTTATTTGTTTTTTTACTTTGCTGAAGCCCCTTAACTTTAATGCTGCTTAGAAACCAGATTTCCCATCAGCAGATGTGAGCAGAAAAACAAGAGCCCCCGTAATCACTTGATGTTCCTCCACTGCAGCAGATGGTGATGAAATCTAGAACATCAACAGGAGGAGACTGCTCTCAGGGACAAGCTCACCTTGATGTGACACAGCCAATCAGAGACCAGGACGTCTGTCCATCGCATGAGGAGCAGATCATGTGCCAAAACGCCCATCTCTGAGGACAAATGGAACAAATGGAACAAATGGAAGACTTATCACCTCTGTGTCTGAGTGTTTAAATTATTTTGGGCCTTGCATGTAATAAATAAAGGTTCTATTTTAAAACACACAAACAAAAGAGATAGAGCTTCACTTAAACCTCTTCCATGAGGAGACTGGACGTCGGGGATCGATATCAGCATGTGCATGCAGGAGTCCTTGCTTTTGACTGTGAAATGTTGAAATCATTATGCGCTTGTGTTCTCACACAGTATTGATTCTGCATACGGGATCAAAGAAATGTAGGAAGAAAGATTTCTATAAAACAATTAAAGGCCGGGTTACGTCACTCAGAGGTTCTACACAGAGCTGCGTTTTCCTCCTGAACATTCCTTCCTCCCCTTTAATATTCATTTGTTCATGTAGACGACATGAAAGGCAGAATGGATAAATGACATGATGAGGACTGAAGAAAAAGGATGAAACATCGGTCACCTTTTCTGCATGGTTTCATGCTTGTATGAATGATGCCACCACTGTCATGGGTGGAATTATTGATGATTGTGTGAATTTGTCTTTATCAACCTATTAATGTTCTCAAAAAAAGAGATTGTGAGTCAGAGTTATTTGTATCTACTGCAGATAAAGTGTCAACATGACAGTGCACCAAATGGATGGTTCAAACGGAGCCAGTTGAGACGGATTTTCTTTTCTTTTCTTTGCTGTTTACATTCATTTTTCTAATCTTTTTCTAACCTCATTATTCATTTTAAATCAAATTAACTCTCTCAAGAGCCTAATATGTTTTGACAGCAACAAACTGAGAGCATATTTAAAACAAATTTAAATAATTTACTATAATACACTGGCAGTTATATCAACAAATGAGAATGGTTGGTAAAAATCATTTTGAGGAACTCAACTCAGAGGATTATGACATAATGTCAGTCAGGT